GGGGGGAGCCAGGCACTAGGCTAGCGGAGGGGATCAGCGGTCCCAAGGGAGCGAGGACTCCGCCACTATCGCGTTTCCTGCCTGTGGCGGAAGCGCCCTTTGACCCCGGAAGTGTCAGGCCGAGGGAGGCGGGGCTGAGCTGTCAGAGCCGGACTCGCCGGTAAGGGGCCGGAGCGGCCGGTGAGTGCGCGGCTGCGCGGGGACTGGCTGGGTGGCTCGGGGCGGTGCCTGTGGGGCTGACGGGGGGCAGTGGGACAATTCGGGAACAGCTGGGTGGGTTTGGGGGGCCGGTGCCTGTGGCTGGGGGCAGCGGGACAGTTGGGGGGCAGCGGGGTAGGTCGGGGGGCGGTGCCTGTGGATGGGGGGCTGGTGGGTAGGGAGGTGGGGCTGACTGGGGGCAGTGGGACAATTGGGGGGCAGAGGAGTAGGTCGGAGGGGTGGTGGCTGTGGATGGGAACATGGGGGTGACTGGGGGCAGTGGACAATTCGGGGGCAGCTGGGTTGGTCGGGGGGCCGGGGCCGGTGGGTGGGGGCAGCGGGACAGTTGGGGGCAGCGGGGTGGGTTGGGGGGGCGGTGCCTGTGGGTGGGGCAGTGGCTGGGGGCAGTGGGACAGTGAGGTGGGTCGGGGGGCAGTGCCTGTGGGTGGGGAGTTGGGGATGGCTGGGGGAAGTGGGGCAGTTGAAGGAGTTGGGGACGATGCCTGCATGTGGAGGGTGGTGGGGATGTTTCTTTAATAATATATGTGACCTGTGTAACATCAGTGCAGGTTTGCAGCCACTTTTACAAGTCACTGGAGCTGTACCACGAAGTCCCTCATTTTAATCAGCACTGTTGTGTTATTTGATGTAGCATACTAGGGCCAATGTGACATCTTGTCCTGCAGGTGTCTCCTGTCTTCTGCACCTGAGCGTATGTCCCCTGGGATCCCTCAGGAGATAGGTTATAAACAGCATTTCAGTGTGACAGGACTATGACACTCACTGAAGAGCAATTCAGTCTTCCCTTGGTAGAGTTGCTCGGCTTTTACACTAGTTCCATCTGCTGACGCAGCCCCAAAGCTATACAAAGGGAGTTGTGTCCTCAAGGCTTACACCAAAGCTCATAGGAAAAATGTATATGTTAGTAGTCTTGCCTGATCCTTATGGATGCTCCATAGTTCAAGATTATTTGGCCCCTCCTTTTCATTTTTAGCTCAACAATCTATAGGGCGGCAGCCTAACTTTCATAGGTACTGATCCATAACTCCTGTTGACTTCAGCTGGAGTTCTTGGTGCTGAGCACCAAGAAAATCAGGCTGCTGTTTTTTTTGTTTGTTTGTTTGTTTTTAAAGGTATGTGTATAGTAGATTTTTAAAAACCGTTTTTAGAAATTTAAGTGCAGAATTGGTTTTGTGTCGAAGACTGGAAAATAATGTAATTTGTTTCACAATAAAAACAATATCCTTGTGGTTTTTCAGCCTCAGTGATTTATCATAGAAATGTGAAAATTCCTACATATCTATGTTTTTAAAACACTGGTGGGAAGCTTACCATTTTAATTGCTTTTAGAATCCTATAAATAGTTCTCTTTTCCTCCCACCCAAGTACCGCAGTGGTTGTATATTGGGATTAGCATGGTGAAATATATTTGTTGTTAAATGGATTTTATAAGAAATCCTTTTGTCATAAGATCAATTTATCTAAAAGGTTAAACATTAAAGGTTTTGTCATCTAAAATTTCAGATGACAAATGGACAAAAGCCTCAGCCTTTCAGGGTATGTCTACACTGCGCCTGGGAGCAAGTCTCCTAGCATGGGTACACAGATTTACCCTAGCTGGGCTCAAGCTAGTGTGCTAAAAATAGCAATGTGGATGTTCTGGCACAGGTGGAACCTCGGGCTCTCAAGCCCGTCTGACCCCAAGGCTTCTGAGCCTGAGCTCCAGCCTGAGCTGGAACGTCCACTTTGGTATTTTTAGTGTACTATCTTGAGCCCTACTAGTCTGTCTGCCTGGGCTAGAGGTTCACTTAGAGCTGTGGTGTAGATATACCCACAGAGTCTGTAATTTCCAGCTTATGCTTAGATGCTGCATTTGGATCCATGTGGGTGAACATGGCATACATGTGGTTCTGCCTGAGGATAAGGGTCCAGAGGCGTTGATCTAACTTCAGGATTAGGGTCTTAAACTTTAACTTGAATACAACTTTTTAACAGCATTTGAAATAAATGATCATACTTTTATAAAACTGCAGAAATTAAATAACAAAAGCTTTGTTGAGCTTGTGGTTTCCAAGCTTTTTAATATTTGGGATTTTTAAGGATGTTTTTAATGGTACATCTTCTCTTGAATTGCCTTAGCAAGGTTTTTCATGTAATAGAACTAATTTTGTAATAACAGTTTCTGTGAGAATACAGGGGCTTGTACAGAATCATATAAGCAATGGGCATAGAAGAAAGGTGAAAGCTAGAACATCTTTTCTAGTCTAATCTCATGTCCTTAAAGATATATATTATGTATATAGTCATTTAATAAAGTTGCTTCATAAGAACACAGAATCTTCTTTTGATAACATGTTAGCAGGATGTCTTATGACTGCCCTTAGAATTTCTGACATCTGGACAGAGACTATTGCTACAGGGCTCTACAAAGGAGAGGTCTTAACAGGGCTTTTCAGTAACCATGTGAGAATTATAAGCATTTACACAAAAGAAACTACACCAACAAAAATTCTTTTTGGTGCTCCTGTAGATGTCTCTGTGACTGCTTGGGGTAAATGCTATAAAGAGAATATGGCTGTACTCTATAAGTCAAGGGGAACTGTGCTTTTTCTGTGGCCTATGCCCCTAATCCTTGGCTATCTCCTCAAGTCTGATGTTTGGTGGTGTAAAGGTTTCCTTTGTATTGATGTGCTTCCAGCCTCTAGGGGTGCGCTTTATAGAAGGCTATAACCTGTCTTGTTTTGTTGTTGGTTAATTGTTTCTGTAAACATTTCCTCATACCACTTTTATGTTGGTGTTTGCCAAAGACAGAGAGATCTCAGCACAATGCCAGTATTTCCCTTGGATGAACTCCAGCTGACAGAGACTGATCCAAAGACAGGGAAACTGAGGACTTCACCAGCATTGGTGAGCTGTGTTGTCTTTGAAATGAAAACATTCAACAAATTGTTCTCTCGTTTCAAGAAGTGACTTTAGCAAAACTGGCTCTGGAACAAAAATTCAGTGAAATCCAAAAGGCTTCCCTCTAGGAGGAGGCTTTATTTGAAGTCTGCATGTTCATAGAATCACAGGGTTGGAAGGGATCTCAGGAGGTCATCTAGTTCAACCCCCTGCTCAAAGCAGGACCAATCCCCAGACAGATTTTTGCCCCAGATCCCTATAATGGCCCCCTCAAGGATTGAGCTCACAACCCTGGGTTTAGCAGGCTAATGCTCAAACCACTGAGCTATCCCTCCCCCCAGTAGTGTATTGAAACTATTTGGGGCTTTTGTTCTATGGTGTATCCCAAGTTTATTATAAACGTAGTCTTCATTCCGAGAATTGCTTGATGGGTAGTGTTGATATTCCTGCAGTGGAGAGAGATTTGAAACTCAGTTTAGAAGTTTAACTCTGAGGTGGAGCATCAGTGTTGGTTCCTCTGTGTCACCACATTCTGTGTGCTCGCCCATGTGGATTTGCAACCACAGGCTTAAGTCAGATCTCAATGTAATGCAAGCTGCGCTAAAGGATGATAACCTGTTTGATTTCTGTACTGGATAGTCCAATCAGCTTGACTCTGGAAGGTGCTCAAGCATCAGTATTGAAAGGGAGAAACATTTCAAAGGAATGACTCTGAGCTGCTGCTGTTTGTTTTGGAGGTGTGGGAGTTGCTTGTCAGCTATTTATCTGAATGGGATACAAGGAGCAACATGTACTGAACTGTGCAGGACTCTGAAAATATTATTGGAAAAATAAGGATGATGCAGAACCACTGATCTGCAGTGTTTTAAAGAGTAAAGAGCGGGGAGAACTGCCAGGGAACATAAGAGGATGGATTCCTGATAACCACACACCAGTTTCCTAAAAATAAGAGAGATGTCCCTGGCTGCATAAATGGTTAAGAGGAATTCTTGTTTCTTGATCCCTGGTTTGTTAACACATTGTCTTTTTGCTTTCTGTAGCATCCAGAAATGAAGGCTGATCGGTCTTTTGTGCTATATAAACCACCCCCTAAAGTCAGAGACCCTGCTCTAGTGGAGGAGTTCTTGGAACGAGCAAAATTCATTGCAGATGATCTGAACTGGCTTCTGGCTTTGCCTCATGATAAATTTTGGTGCCAGGTAATGTTACTGAATGGATAATAAATAAAAACCTGTGACTTATATGAGTGCTTAGAAAAATAAGTAGGTTTAATTAATGTGTCTGATGAAGGCTCATAATTGCCTTTTGTTGCTAGTACCCAAACATCTTAATTTTGGATCGTGTGACATTAAGATTGTAATATTTCCTTAAAGATTTTTGATAATTTTTAATGAATTTTAAAACTGCTAGTTTGGAATCAATGGACCATGGACTCCTCTGAACACCTTTGATCTCTTTGGCTCACTGATGAATTTAAATACCATGTGCTGCATATGTGTCATGTGATGTGGTGTACTACTGTGTATGCTTCATCTTTCCTTCTCCCCACTTGCCTTTGTTCTGTTGTATTAGGTCATATTTGATGAGACACTTCAGAAATGCCTGGATTCGTACCTGTGCCATGCCCCTCGCAAGTTTGATGCATCATTTGATTTCCCTCTGGAGGTGAATGACATGCAGAAATGCCTTCATCAGAGTGTCTTCCTAACCTTCCTCAGAATGTCCACTCACAAGGAGTCCAAAGTAAATACCTCTTCTTACCCTCACTGCACACTGTATGGCTTACAAAAATTGATAGACATTTTGGGAAACAAACTGTGTTTCCTTTTCATCTCTCCCAGCTGCCATCCTTTTTTAGCCCCTGTTTTTCTCATTCCAATAGTTTCCACAAAGATAGTCCCCAATCAGCAAAGGATAGAACTATCTCAAGTGTGTAATGAATGCATTAAACTTTTTCACAAAGGAAAATGCTACTCTTAATAATAGGTTAGCGAGGTGTGGCATTATAATGGGTAGTATAAGAGAATTTAAAGTAAGTTAGCCTTTGCAGGGCTGCATAAAAGGTGTGAGAGGCTGTCAGAGGCTCCTGTAGCCATGTGTTGGTGACCACTCTCATGCCACCTGCTGCCCTGGTCCAGGCATCAAGTCATGCAACTCAGACCGAGACTTGTCTATCATTGCACTTTCTCCAAATTTCTGCCTCTCCCTATGGTTGAGGTAAAATTGCATCTAATTACAATTTTCTTTGCATCAGAATGAAGGGTGTGTGAGTGCAGTGCTCATTAGCAGAGGTGAAAGTTTCACAAGAGCCTTAAGGAAACTCATTCTGTCCTCAGGTTTTAATAATTACTGACCTGTAATCCTCCTTGGTTTATTTTAAGAATATGCATTGTCATGATGGTCAATTTCCGTCTGTTTTGAGAAAAGATCTCAGTGTGGGTGTTGGAGGAGTGGGAAGAGAACAGATGAAAGAAGTGCTGTATCTTGTAGTTAGCATCACTTCAATAAAAGTACTCCACACTTCTGCAGAGCCTTTCATCTAAGCTGGAATACGGTACAGACGTTAATCAATTAAACCTCACAGCTCCAATGAGGTAGCTAAGTATTTGGGTAAATTGAAGTCAATGGTTTGCCTGTTGCCACATAGCAAATTAGTGAGAGTGCTAAAAATAGAACCCAGCAATCCTAACTCCTTGTCCTCTGTATTAACTGGGAGAACACATGCAACACACCCTCTACCATTCGCTTTGGATGGATAATGTTTGCCATCATAAGTAAATCTTTCTTTTATTAGTCATTGCGTCCACTATTATTCTTTAAATTGGATACTTCTCCGTTTCAGGAGCAATGAGAATTTTAGTTTGAAGACCTTTGTCATTTAGAATTTCAAAAACATTTCCAGCCTAACATGTTAGTTACACAAGTTATATCTGCAAGATGGAGTTGGTGTAGGGGTTTAGAGCACTGTGATGTAAATCAGGAGTCCTGGGTTCTGTTCCTATCTGCCACTGATGAAGTGATCTTAGACAAGGAACTTAATTCCTCAGTGCCTTGGCTTCCAAATCTGTAAAATGCTTGCCTACCTCACAGGGGTGGCACTTTTGAAGTGCGTTGAGGTACTTGGGTTAGAGAATGTATAAGTATTATTATTACTGTAAATGCTGTAATCCTTGCAGAGTTAGGGTTACCATACATCTGGACATTTTTTCTTTTTTGATCCTCCACCCTCTGTCTGAGTGGATTTTTCAAATAAGAGGCAATGTCTGGATTTTTGTGAGCTAACTAGCTGATGTTACAGCTCAGAGAGAGCTGTCTCCATGTCATGATTGGTCCCTGCAGCTGATTGGTCACTTCCTTGCAGCCACAGCAACCCCTGCAGCATCCCTCTCTTCTAGTACACACACACCCCTTCAGCCTCCCCCAGATACCCCCTCCCAGTACACCCCCCTCCAGCATCCTCTAAATACCCCCTTCCACTCCCCTACAACTCCCTCTCCCACAGTGTCCTCTTTATGGGAACCTGAAATATGGTAACCCTATGCAGAGTAGAATATGGATTCTCTTTCAAGTTGTTAGAAGTTTAGTTTGTCTTTTTTGTTTTGTTTTTAAATGTGTTTTCTCTTGTTTTTAATAGGAACACTTCATCACACCCTCTGTTTTTGGAGAAATTCTTTACAATAACTTCCTGTTTGACATCCCTAAGATTCTGGATCTGTGTGTGCTCTTTGGGAAAGGAAATGGCATCTTACTTCAGAAGATGATTGGTTAGTCAAAGCTAGGAGCAGCTTGAGGCTTTCTAGTTGTTCTCTGAAAGGCAGGCATTGAAGGGGGTGGGGTTGCTACTGAGTGTAGCTACTGAGTGTAGCAACCTCAGAACAAACTCTTCCTTATAAAATAAGAAGTTTTGATTTCTGAATAAGATGGGTTTTCTTTTACTTTCTTGTGAACCATCTTTATTTATGGGTGATATGGGGAGGGGATTACACTTTGTTTGGGAAAACTAAGTTTGTTTCATAGTCCGTCTTGCTTCCTAAGTTAGATCTGCTACAGGGTCTCTTTATTGCTCAACAGTAACTACTCTGGCTAGTTAAAATGCAGCTCTGAGGCTGTAAAGGGACTCTGTGCTTCAACGAGGAACATGGAAGATCCTGGAGTGAGGAGACAGTCCGAAAAGCCTTATTCTTTGCAGGATGAGGGAAGGGGGAGCAGTCTGACTGCTAAGAGTGGGCCTTTTGCTCCTGTAGCTGGCAGCTAGACAAAACACACAATGTGATTGTTCTGTGACTACAGAGAGCTTTAACTGGAAAAATAGAACTTGATTTTCATAGAGTCCCCGTTTGCTGCAAAGTATCTCAAAGCACTTTACCAACTGAAATCATCACTGCACTACCTGTGTCAGCAAACACAGCAGCAATTATACATTTAGCAACAGCTCAGCCTTGGACATTAGAACCTGTTTTATGGTCAGAGGACGAGTTGGTCTGGACACTGCATTTATCCCTATTATTTTCACAAGGGACCATCTGCGATCCTTATCTTCCACCTGAGCATGTAGTTTTGGATACAATAAGATATAAAATCCTTCATCTAAAATTCAAAACCAGACTTTTCTGAAGTTTGAATAATTTAACTTTTTTCTTTCCTTTGAAAGATGGCTATTGTTGGATTTCTAATCCAATCCAAGTTAAAATGGGAAGCACTGTACGAGAAATCTTGTGACACAGGCTGTTCAAACAAGATTTTTTTCCAAATTTCCAGGCCTAAACACTTTAACTTTTGAATGCTGATCTTTCTCCTCTTGTCAAAATGTATTTTTTTTTAAGTCTAAGTTTCAAAAACCTAGTCTAAATGGTACATGCAACTACTGTGATTACGTGTGCAACAGCAGTAATTGTGCACACAGATGTCCCGTGACATGTCTCCCTGACTGTTTGTGTATGCACTCATGGTATCTGCATGTGCAATTCAGGTGTGCAAATGCAAAAAATCAGATTTTTCCTGTCCTTATTCTTTTCTGTGAAATCTGTTTCACAGGTCTCACACACCTGTGTAAACTCTTCAACAGGTTTGTCCTTGTGGTGGAACCATGGTAATCTGCACAGCATGTCTGGTAATTCACGGAAAAAGGGCAATCAATGTCTCTCCATTATTCAATTAAGATTTTACAGCACTCTGCTATTCTGCAGAGTATTTTGAAAAGATAATGAGAGCAATACTTAGTCTTATATTATTAAGATAAGGCCTCATTACCTTTAAAAAAAATTTCTACAGAACATTTACTGGCGTACATGGAATCAGCAATTAAAACTCAACTACAGATGTCAAATAAAGGAACTAGGAGCATTTAGTGATATTATTTACTGACGCAACCAACAGTGCAGTGCTTGAATCATCTAGCGCCTCGGACACTGTGTTCTAATGAACATTCTCATTACCAGCCCTCCAAAGGCTCTTAAGCAAAGTAAGCTGTGATGGGATAAGAGGGAAGGTCCTCTCAAGGATTGGTAACTGGTTAAAAGATAGGAAAAAAGAGGTAGAAATAAATGGTTAGTTTTCAGAATGGAGAAAGGTAAATAGTGGTGTCCCCCAGGGGTCTGTACTGGGATCAGTCCTATTCAACATATTCATAAATGATCTGGAAAAAGGAGTAAAGAGTGAGATGGCAAAATTTGCAGATGATACAAAACTACTCAAGATAGTTAAGTCCCAAGCAGAATGTGAAGAGCTACAAAAGGATCTCACAAAACTGGGTGACTGGGCAACAAAATGGCAGATGAAATTCAATGTTGATAAATGCAAAGTAATGCACATTGGAAAGCATAATCCCAACTACACTTATAAAATGATGGGGTCTAAATTAGCTGTTACCCCGGAAGAAAGAGATCTTGGAGTCACTGTGGATAGTTCTCTGAAAACATCCACTCAATGTGCAGCTGCAGTCGTCAAAGCGAACAGAATATTGGGAATCATTAAGAAAGGGATAGAAAATAAGACAGAAAATATCATATTTCCTCTATATAAATCCATGGTATGCCCACATCTTGAATACTGCGTGCAGATGTGGTCGCCCCATCTCAAAAAAGATATATTGGAATTGGAAAAGGTTCAGAAAAGGGCAACAAAAATGATTAGGAGTATGGAATGGCTTCCATATGAGGAGAGATTAATAAGATTGGGACTTTTCAACTTGGAAAAGAGACAACTAAGGGGGAATATGATAGAGATCTATAAAATCATGACTGGTGTGGAGAAATTAAATAAGGAAGTGTTATTTACTCCTTCTCATAACACACGAACTTGGGGTCACCAAATGAAATTAATAGGCAGCAGGTTTAAAACAAACAAAAGGAAGTATTTTTTTTCTCACAATGCACAGTCAGTCTGTGGAACTCCGCCAGAGGATGTTGTGAAGGTCAAGACTATAACAGGGTTCAAAAAAGAACTAGATAAATTCATGGAGGATACGTCCATCAATGGCTATTAGTCAGGATGGGCAGGGATGGTGTCCCTAGCCTCTGTTTGCCAGAAGCTGGGAATGGGTGACAGGGGATGGATCACTTGATGCTTACCTGTTCTGTTCATTCCCCCTGGAGCACCTGGCATTGGCCACTGTCGGAAGACAGGATACTGGGCTGGATGGTCCTTTGGTCTGATCCAGTATGGCCGTTTTTATGTTCTCCAGCTGCACTGAACTGTTAGGAGATGGTCAGCTGTATAGGAACAAACACTGTACTTGTGGTGGGTATAGGTCAATAGTTCCACCCTGGGTGGTTACAAGTCTTATTTTTAGAGAAGATGCTGTGGATAGTACATAAGGACGTTGCTTGGTGTGAGGCTGCTTGTTGGGCTGGACATTTGAATTAATCTGGAATGGATTTTTTCCTCTTCTCCTTTCAGAAAACATCTTCACTCAGCAATCAAGTTACTTCAGTGACTTGAATGAAACAGTGCCCACAATCCTCCAGGTACTGCCTCTTTATCTGGCTTGGGGTGGTTTTCTGAGCCCCCAGGGGAGGTTCTGACATAGTCCCAGGAGGCATAGTTGCAGGCTGGCAGAATGTTTGTGTTTCTTTGTATTTGATCCCCTTAGTTCTACCATCTTATGTTAGATAGCTTTTATCTACAATGGTTACTTACAGCTAACCCCCTTACATCCTACCTGTTTATGACACTCTCCTTGCTGTGAATCCTTGGGACTTCCTTTGCTAGATAGTTCATATAGGAAGTGCCCATTTTCCCCTCCCCAAATCAAGAAACTGACACATTTACACTAGTGATAACACCCAGTAAGCTCATAGGAAAGAATGAAAATATCTTTGGAACCAAGATACATAAATTGCTCCTCTACAGGTATTAGCCAGGTCCAATGTTCTGAGCTTTCGTTGCTCTGAGCAGTAAGAATTTCCCCAAGCTGACTGGGCTATGCTCATATTTAATTTGAATATGAATCAAGATGCCTTGGCTTCATTCAATGGGAAAATTTGTGTTTTAGTCCTCAAACAAATAATTTTAAAAAAGTCATTTTGCCAAGACAGCTGGGATGGCTTTCTGTTCTCTTTGAATTCCGGTGTCTCCATCTCCATCGTGCTTTGGGTGTGCTAAACTCAGCGGTCCAGGAGCACTCATGTGAGAGATGGTGTCATGTGTAGAAGTGCTCTGTGATGCCAGATTATCCATTCAAAACAGTTATTTGAAGGGCAGTGAAGATTCTGCCCATTGTATGTGGTGTATGTCTTGAAGCAATTACTTTGGGTTTACAGAGCTCTGCTTTGCATACTGTGTGTTAGAGGTTTTGTTAGTTAACATTGTCACAGAAAGAGCATCAGTATATTTGCATGCACGCATATACCAGTCCAAAGAAAAACACTTGGTGATTATAAGGAAAAGCAGTATAAACCCAAGTATTCAACTTCAAAAAATGCCTATAGCCCCTCTGTTAATCTTATAACCTGCTCTGGTGGGGGCCTCCAAAGATGCAACTCTCCAAAGATGCAACTGTAATAGAGTTGTTTCTTAAGTTCTAGGCCAGGGATCGGCAACCTTTGGCACACGGCCCATCAGGGAACTCCGCTGGCGGGCTGGGACAGTGTTTACTT